GCCTGTAATTCCGGCTACTTGGAAGGCTGAGGCGGAAGGATCACTGGAGCCTAGCAAGTCGAGGCTGCAGTGGCTGGGAGCAGCCACTGCACTCCAGTCTGGATAACAGAGTGAGACTCCAACTCAAAAAAAAAAATTAGAAGTTGATAGTAAACCTAGATAGGACAATCCTGTTAACACAACAGAGTAGCAAGTCAGGGAACACAAAAAAATCCTGAATAAAGAAGAGCAAGGAGAGTGCTGAGCAGTAACCAATGCACCCACATCCAGAAGTCCCTCGGTGTTCAGCACCCATAGCTCAGTCAGCCCACTGAGCACTAGTATGACCCAACCACAACAGGACGTTTCAACATACGACAATATGAGAATGACCAAGAATATGATCAGTATATTACAGATATCATAGCAACAATATACTTGGAACATTTACATTTTTTAACACTATATTTAAAAGATTTAACAGGAAATAGCTCAAACATTATGGCCTGTTATTGTTACCCAAATCTAAAATAACAGCAAGAATGCAAGATAATAGAAACAGTTAATACAAGACCAAAGCATCAACAGGAAGATGTTATTGCTCTTATTGGAACTTCAACAAACAAGCTTGAGCATAGTTAGAATAGAGATAATAATGCTTACAAGTGGTAGGATTTGTGTTTTGTTTTTTTTTTTGAGTTGGAGTCACATTCTGTCGCCCAGACTGGAGTGCAGTGGCACGCTCCCGGCTACCACAACCTCGACCTGCTGGGCTCTGGTGATCCTTCCGCCTCAGCCTTCCAAGTAGTTGAAACTACAGGCGCGTGCTACCACGCCCGGCTAATTTTTTGATTTATTGTAGAGATGAGGTCTCGCCAAGTTGCCCAGGCAGGTCTCAAACCCGCGGGGTCAAGCAATCCACTCACCTCAGCCTCCCAAAGCACGGGATTACAGGCTAAGCCACCGAATCCAGCTTGTGCTTTTTTTTTTAGTTGAAGTCTCACTCTGTCATGCAGGTTGGAGTGCAGCGGGATGCTCATGGCTACCACAGCCTCAACCTGTTGGGCTCAAGTGATCCTTCTGACTCAGCCTTCCAAGTAGGTGGAACCACAGGTGCATGCCACCACATCCAGTTAATTTTTTAATTTATTGTAGAAACATGGTCTTACCAAGTTGCTCAGGTTGGTTTCAAACCCATGGGTTCAGGCAATCCTCTTACCTCCACCTCTCAAAGCGCTAGGATTACAGGCATGAGCCACCATGCCTGGCTTGTGCTTTCTTTTCTTTTATACAAATCAATTTTATTAAACTGAAACTGCTTCCTTTCTCTGAATAAGTAAATTAAAATAAGACAAATGACTAATGACCAAAAGGCAAATCCACCCCAAAACTGAATGCCACTTAGTGATGTGTGCAAGCTCTATTTAGGGGAAAACACATGGCCAGGGGCCAGGTGTCCACGTGTGTGACAGTAGAATTATATCACTAAGTGCAAACGTCCTCTGGGGTGTGTCTCCTAGGAACAGCTCCCTGGCCCTGCTGGGACCACCACATGAAGAGTGACAGAGAGTCCCACCAGAGGTCAGGACCCCTCACTCCAGCCACCCATTGCCCAGAGGCTTATCCACTAACACATCCCAGTTCTGAATAAATGGGGGCTTGGGGACAGTAACACCAGAAAGAAACATTTCTAATCAGGAAAGCAGGACACAGGTGAGAAGTCCATGAGGAGGTAATAATAAGTAAAACTGAGGTTGAGACTGTGTGCTGGTGTATTCCTAAGCATCCTGACATGGATACCAGCACCCTGACTACAGAGCACTACCATTAAAGGATCTCATATTTTCTTTCTTTATTTTTTTTGAGGTGGAGTCTCACTCTGTCGCCCAGGCTGGAGTGCAGTGGCACGCTCATCACCACTGCAGCCTGCTGGGCTCAGGCGATCCTTCTACCTCAGCCTTCCAAGTAGCTGGAACTACAGGCGCATGCTACCATGCACAGCTTAGAACTCATATTTTCTTTGCTTTTTTTTTTTTTTTAAGCTGGAGTCTCACTCTGTCACCCAGGCTAGAGTGCAGTGGCACGCTCAAGGCCACCCCAGCGTGGACCTGCTGGGCTCCGGCGATTCTTCCACCTCAGCCTTCCAAGTAGCCGGAACTATAGGCATGCGCTATCATGCCTGGTTGATTGTTTATGTATTGTAGAGACGAGGTCTCACCAAGCTGCCTAGGCTGGTCTCAAACCCAAGGGCTCAGGCAATTCACTCGCCTCGGCCTCCCAAATTGCTGGGATTACAGGCTGAGCCACCAAGCCTGGCCAGAACTCCTATTTTCAACAACATGAGTGTCGGGGTTTCCAAGTGCGCCATTCCAACAGCATGATTTCAGAAAGCAGGGCACCTTACCAGTTGTTGACTTGAAGTAGTGTCAAATGTGTCTGAGCAGCAATCTGTTTTTTCTCATCCTCTGTTGGGTACGGATGCTGAAAATAAAAAGGAAGGTTACCACAGCTTTCAGTTTGACAAAGGAGATCAAGATAATCTAGGCAAAACACAAGCGCCAGATCATCAACGGGAAAACTGTCATACCAACAGTGCTTCCAGTCACAACCCAACTGCAGTCCTACAGGATGAAGTGCTTCTCCTAGCCACCGAAGAACGTCCTGGTGCTATAGAGCTGGCCAGCGCACAAGCCAAGGCTGACTAGCCACAATGCCTGCCAGCACAAAGGTGAGGAGAGAGACAGAGGAATCCCCAGGAACTGCCATCCAGCAGCCAGGGCTCCCAACATCAGGTGCTGTCCTGAGCACCTGATACAATTTACGGATTTTTGTATCAACCTTACTGACGTTTAATTTATGAATAACAAATTACATCCATTTAAAGAGGGTAAGTGGATTAGTTCTGACCCCTGACCCTAGGCCCCAAGTAGCACACCACATCTCTGTCACCTCGGTGCACTCTATAGTTATTCACTGACTCCTCACAAGCACCTTCTGAGAAGGTCACTTTCACTGCTTTGTTTTACAGATGAGGAGACTGAGACAGGGAGCATTTACAAACTTCCTCCAATCCCACAACTGGTGAAATAGATATAGGAAGGAAACAGCCAAGCAGGCTGAGGAGATACGTTAGATCATTGGTACCACAAAAATAAACTGATACCGGGATGAGCTGATGCCCTCTGAAGTATTCTGGCAATTAAGTCTCTACTGGTTAACCTGGGCAATCAGCAAAGAACAGGAATGTCCATGAGATTATCCGTCTGTGTATGACTGAAACATTTCACTTAAAAAAAAACAACAACAAAAAAAAACAATCTGGCCAGGCTCAGTGGCTCAGCCTGTAATCCCACACTTGGGGAGGCCAAGGCGAGTAGACTGCCTGAGCCCATGGTTTCAAGACCAGTCCTGGCAACTTGGCAAGACTCGTCTCTACAATAAATAAAAAATTAGCCAGGTGTGGTAGCATGCGCCTGTAGTTCCAGCTACTGGGAAGGCTGAGGCAGAAAGATTGCCAGAGCCGAGCAGGTCAATGCTGGGGTGGCTGTGAGTATACCACTGTACTCCAGCCTGGGCAGTGGAGTGAGACTTCAACTCAAGAAAAGAAAACTCTAACCAGAATTAAATGTCAAAATTCACAGAAGTACAAAGGAAAATGATTTGTACCCATGGTAATAAACAATTTTGGCAAGACTGATTATGTTTGCATGTGGAAATCAAGGCAACATTTACTGTAAAACCTGAGTGCACTGAAGTCCCTGAGTTTGGACCAACTGGGACCCGAGAACAAATGGCACCAACACAACACAAAGGTGGAGATCACTTTGCTTTGATTTTAGGCACACGCTCTGGGTGACTCCGAAACACCACTGCACTGTTAAATCCCAGTGGGACTGGAGCAGCAAGAGTACACCTCAACAGTGACTTACTTGTCCCTCAAGCTGGTCAGCTGTGTGCTTCAACACGAGTCTACCAATGAGGGGTGGCTCTGTGCCCAAGGTTGTGGAAACATAAACACTGTTCTGCCCTTTAAGAAGCTCATAAAATAGAAACGGGGCAGGAAACATGAACTCACAAGCCAGAGAAAAGCCCCCAACAGTAATGAGTGCTGCCCCAGAGTGTCAGGGGAAAGTACAGGGGAGGATGGTTCTGCACAGAGATGACGGCAAGAAGGGACAGAAAAGCTTTACCGGGAAAAATGTGGCTTTTAATTGGACCTTATGAACAGGGTTGATTGTTTTAGAAATTATCAAAATATTAAAGGAAACCTAAAAGGAAAATTGTCCACCAAGCCTACAACTCTTCACATACTGTAGTCATTATACTACAGATATATTTATTGCTGTGAGAATCACAATACATTTTAAAATCACAATACATTTAAAAATACATGCTGTCTTTTCACTCATGATCATTCACTGAAACTCCCTCCTACTCAGCCCCCATCTACCATGTTATCAGTTGTTTACTATTCCGTCAAATTGACATATCCTCATCTACGTGCCAACCACTATACCAATAGTAGTTCCACTGCTATAATAAACATACTGTAAACATATTTGTGAAATCCCTTTCCTTTTCTTGAGAATGATCTTCTAGGGCCAATCTCTAAAGGTGCTCCCACAGCTCAAGGATGATCCTGTTCTCTCAGAACGTGAATGGAAATGACCCTGTGGAGACCACAATATCAGAGTGAGCTAGGGGAGGGCTGCTGGGGACCTGGAGCCAAGAGGACACTCTGGGCTCTTTCCAGGCCCTTCACCCCAGGAGGGGGTCCCTCCCTCTCTCAGGACCCTCAGCGAAATCACCTGCCAGTTACAAGTCCTTGAGCCAGTCACTCGCCCAGACCCCTGCTCAAGCTCAAGTGCAGTCAGAGGAAGAGAGGCATTCAACAACAGACAAGCTGAACCCAGAGGGACATCAGCAGCAAGATGGGGGTCAGACTTGGGCTCACAGTCGGGGGAGGACAAAGAGTGAGTACCAGTGCCAAACGCCTACCTCAGTCCCTGCAGCAGGCATCTGAAATGGTGGAAGACAGGACAGATGAGGCCCCATCACCCCTGTTGACAGCAAGGGGGCACACAGCTGAGGAGGACACAGCGGGAAGACAGGAAGGACGTGCCACAGACTCCGAGAAGGCATGAGTCAGCGACAACAGCCCTAAGACAAAGGTGGCCAGGGCTGCTGTCCCGGCTCAGGAGTGAGAGCCAGACACTGGCATGGAGACTCCTATTGAAAGGATGTTCACAGAGTAGCAGGAAGGGTCAATGAGAGTCCACAGGACAGTGTCTGGTTCGATTCCAAGGCCGCCTGTCTCTTGGCCTACAGAAAAGGCCTTAGCTGTCTCTTTCCTCCTGGGCTACCACTGTGGCTCAGCAGGCTGCAGCCACCTTCCTGCCTTGGCCTGTGCACTTCACCTCTGAGAGCCTGGCTTGGCACTCCCAACCCTGGCTGAGACCAAGGGGTCCCTCTGAAAGCTGCCCTGGGCCAGCAGGCTGGTGGTGGCATTACATTATGACCAGCAAGGCTTCTTCATTAACTTGGCAAGCCGTTCCTTCTGTACTTTCTAAGACATCCTGGGGACAAGGAGAATCCACGGCCATGACCCAGGGAGGAATCAAGGAATGCATACGTGAGGGACAAATCAGAGTCACTTCCAGTGAACATGCCCCCATGACCCTGCCCCGTGGGTGTATGCAACCTGCGTCTGTCTTTAACCTTGTCATGTCTCCCTTCCAAATCCAACATACATAACCATGGCGACTGGCCCAGGTTCTGCCCAACGTATCTTTTCTCCACTCACTTCTCTGGTCAACCTCTCCTCCCCAAGTCACCCTCATGGTAGGGTCTGTCTCACACACTTGTACACAATCTCACAAGCTTAATTCACTCCTTCCTGCCAGCATCCGCACTGTTTCAGTTTCTTGCAGCTGGTGCCTCCCTCCTGCCTATGCTCCACTCACTGTGGACACACAAGGATCGATACCAAGCGAGAAAGAAAGCACCTCCGACTATACTAGCCGAGAGGTCCTCTGCTCTTACCCCTATGTGCTGGAAGAGCCAGGATCGCATCACATTTGTGGCGTGCTTGGGTAGAACGCCCCTCTTATTCTTAGACGAACCGTCGTCTTGATGCAAGATGCTTAGATCTTGGTTTAATTGTAGCTGAAGCTTGGAAACAATTGAAAAATAATGTTAGAAGGCATAAAAAACTGTGCTATAGCCAAGTAGCTTATGTCTTCAGATGGGAAAGACAAGGAGCGTATAGGTAAGTTACTCATCACTGTAGAGGCATGTATCTGGGAACCCAGTAACACTAGTTTTTGAAGAAATGGCACCTCCACACTGTTGGTCTCTGTACTAGTGATGGCTCTGCAGAGGCCCCTCACCTGCAGAGGCCCTAAAGATGTCATTCTAGGTAGGTGATGCCCTCAGTCCTCTCACCCATCACCTTTTCTCACCTGTGCCTCCTGCAGTAAGGACATTTGATTTCTCAGCCCAAAAGAGATGTCAAGCAGCTAATGAGAATGAACAGGGACACCAGAAAGTAGCACTAGTGAGAGTGGGATACGCTAGGTGAACAGAGGGAAAGGAAATGGCAATGGCACAAGAGGTAGAGGGATCATAGAGCAGAAGAGGGAAGAATGACCCTGTCCATCCAGGACACTTCCCTGCAGTCTCTGTGGAAAGGATAAATTATTAGTTTGATGCATAAGTTCATAGCATTTGTTTACGGCATGGTGACACTGCAGTATTGGGATTAACGTTTGTCATTTGTCATTTGGAGTGACAAAGTTGTGCTTGCGAAAATGCCTTGCATTTTGCAGATCTGAAGAAAGTCGGTGCTATTTGTGGGCTAAAGATGATAGCAGGTCAAGTGGAAAACAACAAACCCTTCTGACATATCTTTGTATTTGAGTTTAACAGAAGAGTAAGGGCAGCAGAAGTGGCTTGAGGTCTTTGTGCTGTGTACCGAGAGAATGCCATCAAGGTAGCACAGCAAGAAAGTGATTTTGTCGTTCCAAAGAGGGCCACTTTGACCTGGGTGATTCTCCACGTTCTAAAAGACCATTGGGCGTTGATGAAGATCATTTAAACACTTTAATCCATGATGATTCATGCCAGGCAACCTGAGAATTAGCAAACGTGACGAACTGTGACCAGTCAACCATCATGCGACATCTGCATTCCATGGGCAAGCGGAAAACCCTGTGAACTTATGCATCAACCCCATACATTCTGCCAGTTCTATTTTAAAAGAAAAGGATGCATTTGGAGCTGTTTGATAAAACATGAGAAAAGCCTGGCTGTTAGCAAGGCCATATTCCAGGCCTCACCACAGTCTCCCTCCCAGGTGCCTGTAAGAGGTGATATTGTTGCTGTCCATGACACAGACCAGGGAAGGAAGGAAGCAAAATGGCTCCCTAGGGCCTGCAACAAGGACTGAATAAGGCTGTTGGGGTTCTCACATACTAACCTAACTTTACAAATAAGTGCACATCGGATGGACATGGTGGCTCAAGCCTGTAATCCCAGCACTTTGGGAGGCCGAGGTGAGGGGACTATCTAAGCCCACAGGTTCAAGAACAGCCTGGGAACTTGGCAAGACCCCATCTTAAATAAATAAAAAATTAGGCTGGGCTTGGTGGTCCAGCCCGTAATCCCAGCACTTTGGGAGGCTGAGGTGAGTGGAATGCCTGAGCCTGTGGCTTCGAGATCAACTCGGACAACTTGGCAAGACCTCGTCTCTACAGTGAATAAAAAAAAGAAAAAAAAAAAGAATTAGCTGGGTGTGGTAGCATGCACCTGTAGTTCCGGCTACTTGGAAGGCTGAGGCAGAAGGATTGTCAGAGCCCAGCAGACTGACACTGGGGTGGCCGTGAGTGTGCCATTGCACTCCAGTCTGGGTGATGGAGTAAGACTCCAACTCAAAAAACAAAAATTAGCTGGGTGTGATAGTGTGCACCTGTAGTTCTGGTTACTTGGAGTGCCTGAACCCAGTAGGTCGACACTGGGGTGACTGTGAGCATGCCACTGCACTCCAGCCTGGGCGACAGAATGAGACTCTAACTCAAAAAAACAAAAACAAGGCCGGGCTCGGTGACTCAGCCTGTAATCCCACACTTTGGGAGGCCGAGGTGTGTGGATTGCCTGAGCCCGCGGGTTCGAGACCTGCCCGGGCAACTTGGCGAGACCTCATCTCTATAATAAATCAAAAAATTAGCCGGGCGTGGTAGAGCGTGCCTGTAGTTCCAGTTACCTGGAAGGCTGAGGCGGAAGGATCGCCGGAGCCCAGCAGGTTGAGGCTGCAGTGGCCGGGAGTGGCCACTGCACTCCAGTCTGGGCGACAGAGTGAGACTCCAACTCAAAAACAAACAAACAAAAAAAACCAAAAAACAAATAAATGCACATCAAATTCTGTACATCAATTTTGGTATAGTATATTCATGAACATGGTTTAATAAATTCAAGTTTATTTTGGAGAGATTTTTACTATATTATTTTACAATTACTTCCTCTGGATTTATACCTTTTTGGATACATTCTTCAAAAATCTGACAACCAACAATTAAAGAGACAGCAGACAGGAATCGAACATTAACTGTACCTAAAGTTTCTTAAAACTCCAGGTTATTATTGAGAGAATTACTTTAATGAATGCATTTATTTAAGGACTGGGAACAGATGGCATTAAGAAGTGCCTGCAGTACTTCCATATACTAGAAAAAGAATGGAAAATGAACTTTTAAAATAAGTTCCAAAGCATCAGGGCCGAAAGTCAGCACGTGTGCTGTGCTTGTCTCAATGGAATATGAAGGATGATCTTATGAAATTAGACACGTGCTTCAGCACTGTCTCATCTGGCTCAGGGTTAAAATAAATGTAGACTCACAATTAAGCAAAGTGACTTGAAGGGCCACCAGCAACCTGGAGTAAGGACAGAGCCAAAGAAAGGAAAGCCAGCCGGGACCCAAGGAGACCAGCCTGTCACCCCACTCAGCTCCAAAGGAGCCCTAGACAAGGCAGGGGGATTTCAAAGCTGAAGAACTGGCTGCAAATCTGTTTGAGAAGCAGTGAGATGCCAGCACTCCCCGCAGCCAGCTGACTCATGTGCCCACTCTGCAGGAGACTTGGGCTTTACTTCACAAAGAAACAGACCAGCGGCCACAGGCTTGGCAAAAGTGAGAGGTTAGAAGAAGGGATAGGGGAGTCTGCACATTAAATGGAGCATCCTGCCTACTCCTGCTCCAAGCAAGGAATTAGAGAGCACTCCTCTTGAGAAACCAGACAAAGACAGGGATGATGGATCCTGAGGGTTAGCCATGCAACAAGCACCAAAGGGTTTTCCAGTGACTTGGGTTTAGATGTAAAAGGGCAGCCAAGCAGTATCCCCTAAACACTTGAAAGCCACCATCACAAAAAGCAGAGACCAAAGTGAATAAGCTTTGGGATACAGAGGAAACAGAATGCAAAAAAGCCAAAGAACACTTCAACCATCTGTGAAGCAGAAGGTAGATGCTACTAAAAAAAAATTTTCTTTTAAAAAGCACAGAAGGTAAGGAATATTCCTAGAAATTAAAAATATGCTGAAAGTTTAAACTCAATGGATGGGTTAGAAAATAAAATCCTTGGTCGAGTTCAGTGGCTCAGCCTGTAATTCCAGCACTTTGGGAGGTCAAGGTGAGTGGATTGCCTGAGCCTGAGGGTTTGAGACCAGTCTGGGCAACTTGGCGAGACCTAGTCTCTACAATAAATAAACAAAAAAATTAGCCGGGTGTGGTAGCGTGCACCCGTAGTTCTGGCTAGTTTGAAGACTGAGGCGGGAGGATTGCTGGAGCCCAGCAGGTCGACACTGGGGTGGCCATGAGAGTGCTACTGCACTCCAGCCTGGGCGACAAAGTGAGATTCCAACTCAAAAAAAAGAAAAAAAGAAAATCCTTTAGAATACATGAAAAGTAGACAATTGGAGAAAATATAAATACAAAAAAATCAAGAGAGTACATTCAGGAGAAAGAGAGTCTGTTCAGTTAGTAAGAACTCGAGAAAGAACATGTGTCCTGAGAGGTGGGTACAGAACTGTCACCGGATAGTACAGGGAAACACAGACCTGAGGCTTGGAAACTCCAGATGAAAAGCATAGAGGATTCAGCACAACCAGAAAAAGAGACCTCCCCAAAACCCAGGGCATCTGCCAGGAAAGAGAAGCAGCCAAGAGGAGAAAAACACGAAAGACTGGAACAAAGAAAACACCAACCTCCTCAAAAGCAAGCAGCACTGGCCACTAGAAAACAAAGACGTAAGGTCTTCCCAGCACAGGGTGGGAAAGACTTTCATTTTATTTATTTATTGTAGAGACTAGGTCTCGCCAAGTTGCCCGGGCTGGTCTCAAACCCACGGGCTCAGGCAATCCACTCACCTTGACCTCCCAAAGTGCTGGGATTACAGGCTGAGCCACTGAACTCGACCAAGGATTTTATTTTCTAACCCATCCATTCTACACATAAAAGACTGCTGCCAAATAGGAGATCAAGTAAAAGTAATTTTACAATTACATGTCTTAAAAAAAATGTATTTCTCATACATTTTCCTAGGAAGTTTTCAGAAGAGAGAGTATCGCCAAAAAAGACAAAGGGAATTCTCAAGCTGCTATCCAAGGAAAGTTCTGTCCATGATGTCTTGGCCTGCAGGCCAGCCCTAGAGACAGGAGGTGGGGAACTCTGGGGAGGATGGCCTGGCCCAGCTGTGCCATCCAGCAGGCTAGATACCAGGAAGCTGCCGAAAGGCTACTGGCAAAGTTGTAAGGATCCAGGCACTGATACAACAGGAAACAATGAGCAAACAAGAAACACAAAACAATGATTAACTTGGGTGAAGAAATCATGGGAGGTAGAGAGCACTCCTGTCAGGGTTCTACTCTGGGCTCACAACAGCCACCATCACTCAGCTCCGATGTGAATGAATTGGGAGCAGGGAAAGGGAGGGCGAGAGACAAAGTGAACCAACCCAACACGCCAGAAAGCCAAAACATGGTATTCTGAGGGATAAGTTAAGAGACAGGATTTTTATTTGGAAACAAGGAGGAAATAGCAGGAGAAATGGCTAAAAGCTCTGGAAGGGCCTGGGGGAGTGGAGGGAGGAGAGGAGAGGTAGGGATCTGTGAGGGTCTGCTTGAAGCACACAGCATCCTGTGACAGCTTGAGCTACGACAACCAGCAACTCTGTGTGTGTGGTAGTGGGTCATAAAATGTTTCCAACAGGTTGACTGCTGGCAAGGTAGCAGACAGAAAACCGAGTGAACATTGATTTATGGTCATGTCCCCAGCAAATGACACACTGCATTCTAATTGCCTTAGTAAGGACCAGATACCCAGCAACTTGATAAAAGTATTAAAAATAACTGTAAAGAGGAAGCAGAGGCAAAACCTAAAACACATGAGGACAGCTGTACAAATAAGACTCTGCTCAGGAAAAGGGGTGGCAGTGGGGAGAGGGAACCAGTGAAGTTTCACTCCCCTGAATATTTCTCATTTTCTCAAAAATGTGTTTTAGTGGGTTTGTACCAGAAGTAAAATTAAAGACTTTTTAGTAGGCCTACATCTGCCCTGCAGTGAGTTGGCCAGAGTGTTCTGCAAGGGGACACATTCTCTCCTGGGGAACAGTTATGCTGAGTTAAAGCCCCCATCCTCCATAAGTGGAAGCATGCGGGCACACCTGGGCCCATGACACATGGCCCCAAACAGGAGTCCCATGAGAGAAAGGATTCTGGTGTTAGAACAGGGTTTCCAGGGTTGTTTGTAACCACCACCTACACAGCTGCCACTTCGTGACCACTGCTACGACTAGTAACAAGACCATTAGTGACACAGAAGTCACAATAGACAATCCCCAATTTTCTTGACAAAGTCATTCCTGAGAGTTTCTAACACAAAACACAGAAACTCTCATTGGTAAGTTACTTACCCTAATTTTCTGAAACACAGCAAGAACCAAAAATCTGACAAAAAAAGAAAGAAAGAAAAAGCCCAGAGCAGCCCATATAGCTGTGATAGAATTGCATGTATAATGTCCATATTTAATCCAAAGAATTCCCCAGGGCCTCCACCAAATCTACTTGGCTTCAGCATGAATATCCCTAATTAGCTGGTTTATAGGGATTCCCAGCCCTGCTGTACTAGAGGTGACAGATGAAAGGGAAGGCGCAGAGGGGACAGGTCACATAGTGACCTGCACAGGGGCTCCGTGGACCAAGGCAGAGGCAGCTCACAGATGCAACCAGGGAATTCTGTCCACCACCGTCCAGCTGAGGGAGTCACACACACAAGCCGTGTGTGAGAAAGTGTTCTACTGAAATAGTGAGAACTCTATAGGGCTTCCATTTAAATTAAAGATCATTGTTTTATAAGAAAATCCAGTTTAGTAGAAAACTTCCTTCTTAACAGGGTAAATGAACCTCCAATATCTGAGGAAGGCATTTGACTTTAAAATGTTTTCCACGGCCGGGCTCAGTGGCTCAGCCTGTAATCCCGCGCCTTTGGGAGGCCGTGGTGAGTGAATTGCCTGAGCCCGCCAGTTCGAGACCCGCCTGAGCAACTTGGCAAGACCTCATCTCTACAATCAATCAAAAAATTAGCCAGGCATGGTAGCGCACGCCTATAGTTCCAGCTACTTGGAAGGCTGAGGTGGAAGGATCGTCAGAGCCCAGCAGATCAAGGCTGCAGTGACCGGGATGGCCACTGCACTCCAGTCTGGGTGACTGAGTGAGACTCCAACTCAAAAAAAAAAAAAAATTTTCCTCTAAAAGAGTATAATTTGATATTAGAAAAATATTCAAGTGAGCATGGTAGCTCACGCCTGTAATCCCAGCACTTTAGGAGGTGGAGGCAGGAGGATTGCCTGAGCTCAGGGGTTCAAAACCAGACTGAGCAATGTAGCAAGACCTCATTTCTACAATAAATCAAATAATTAGCTGGACATGGTGGTGCATGCCTATAGTTCCAGCTACTTGAAAGGCTGAGGCAGAAGGATCACCTGAACCCAGCAGGTCGAGGCTGCGGTGACCATGAGAGTGCCACTGCGCTCTAGTCTGGGTGACCAATGAGACTCTGACTTAAAAAAAAAAGAAAAGAAAATTATTCTATAAACCAGACATTGCTTTCTCTTCGCAGATATTTCAGATGAAAAGGAAGGCTACTCAGAGAACCGAGGGACCATGTCAGTGGACTCTAGCTCCTCCCTTACCCAGCCTGGGTCAGTGAAGTCACCTACAGCCCAGGACCCATGTGTGCCAGATGATCTGAAGTCCCCCAGCCCTATCAGTGGCCCACTGCTCCACCCCTACCTTCTCTGTCTGACTAAACCTGTGAAGGGGAGAGTGGTAACGCTGACTGCCCACTATACTGAGCATAGCCACGGGCCCTCTTGCATCTGCTACTGCACTCAGTAAAACACCAACATCCCCAAGACTGGGGACTCAAAGTTGCTAATAAGGATGTAGAAATATCAGTGCAGGTCAAGATAAAAAACTCACATAAAGTAAGAACTGACAACACACTCCACAGGCCAGCAAGACTTAGTACAGCGTGGCAGAGAGATCTGGAAGTTGTCCAAAGCATAGGATCTGTCCCAGCCAGATTCTCACATGGAGGCATAGGCTAGGCTCACTGGTCTGAAAAAATGTGGCCTCTATAGCAATGGCCTCCATGGGGGTCTGGGAAGTGTGTGCCCACAGGACATCCAGGCCCTTAATAGACATGCAACCCCATGTTAACACTGAACAACAGAGGTTGCTGGGACAGGAGGATTTTTTTTTTTTTTGAGTTGGAGTCTCACTCTGTCACCCAGACTGGAGTGCAGTGGCCACTCCCGGCCACCGCAGCCTCCACCTGCTGGGCTCCGGCGATCCTTCCGCCTCAGCCTTCCAAGTAGCTAGAACTACAGGCGCCCGCTACCACGCCCAGCTCATTTTTTGATTTATTGTAGAGATGAGGTCTCGCCAAGTTGCCCAGGGCGGTCTCGAACTTGTGGGCTCAGGCAATCCACTCACCTCAGCCTCCCAAAGGCGCGGGATTACAGGCTGAGCCACCAAGCCCGGCTTGGACAGGAGAATTATGAGTGACTTTTTCCCTGCTTCTTCAGAGTTTTCTAACTTTGCAAATTCTCTAATAATGAAGGAAGAGCAAAAAGAAACAAAACATTGACATTCAGATTAACTAGAGATTGCTATACAAGACAAGTGACCAAGTGACCTTCAGGCAGTCAGAGAGGCTCAGCCTATTCTGTCTGTGCCCCCACAGGGGCAGTCCTTGCTCCCAAAAGCCTTTCGTAAAAGGGCACACACCTGGGAGTTCTGGATCCTAATCGTCCCAGGAGACAATGTCTGCGTGACCACTTGGCCCTGTGGAGTAACGACTGTGACAGGCTGGTACACTGTGCCACCTTTGAAGGGAGAAGAAAATATTAGGATATCTTTAAGTCTTAATGATTTAAACCATCTTCTTGATACACTTACAAAGGGAATAAAATCTCTACGTTGATGAGCTTTCTAATCATTTCAAATGATTAACAATACTTTGTCAGTTGACTATAAATTATCACAACACAGCCCTTCGACCGGCCGTTTTCAGGCACCTGTGGCATGGGCAGGTGGGCACTATGAGCCTGACAACACACACACCACATCACACACATACACGGCACATGCAGCACACACACCGCTGGATGACTGGGGCCTTCAGGACCCCTTCCATTTGCTTGTTTCTGCTTTCTTCTTTTTCCTATAATCAGTACATATTAAGGATTTGGTCCATGCTACTAAATAGTAAATCTTTTATTATAGTTATATATATATATATATTTTTTTGAGTTGGAGTCTCACTCAGTCGCCCAGACTGGAGTGCAGTGGCTGCTCCCGGCCACTGCAGCCTCGACCTGCTGGGCTCCGGTGATCCTTCCACCTCAGTCAAGTAGCTGGAACTACAGGTGAGCGCTACCACGCCCGGCTGATTTTTTATTTATTGTAGAGATGAGGTCTCGCCAAGTTGCCCAGGTGGGTCTCGAACCCACGGCCTCAGGAAATCCACTCACCTCAGCCTCCCAAAGGCATGGGATTACAGGCTGAGCCACCGAGCCCGGCTATAGTTATATTTTTTTGATCAACAGTGCTTTCATTTTCCTCTGAAGTTTCCCTTTGCACTATTATTGAGGCTTTTTTACTGGAAACTTCTACCTAGCCCTACCTGCCCCATCACATTTTCATGATGTATTAGGTTTGGAACATTCTACATGTACCAGGAAACTCTGGAACCTGTCCCTCTCCTGTAATGCTTTTTGTTAAGCAAGTAATACTGAGACTAATACTGCATTTTTATTTTATTGTCATCATTTAATGATAAAACTTAACATTTTCAGGGTGTTGCCAAAAGCATGATTAAGAATTATGTTATTTGAAAATGACAATTGGTTTTTACTATATATGTCTAACTCCTATATGAAATCTTTTTTCATTACAATATATTTTTGGTAGAGAAACACAATTTTCATAAAACGTTTGAGAATGAACAAGAAACAGGCAAAGAGCTCCAGCTCCTAACATTGCTATACCAGGAACTGGAATTAATTTGAAATTATATTTATATTTTCATTCTGCCATGTTGGCCTCATGGAGAGAGTGTCCATTTTCCCGTCACCGTACCTGCCACAGTCGCCATGGCTACATTTCCCTGCTGCAGCGCAGAGGCGGGCACCACGATTCCTTGCGGGCTGATAGTGCCTGTGATGGCACTTTGAATCTGCTGCAAGTCAGAACACACACGGTGAGGGGATTACTAGAAAACGGAAGCCCATGTTTAAAACTTCAAACAAATGGCATAACGATATCATTAGTAAAGGACAGATATGCTTGAAGCAAAGAGGACAGTCAGATGACCAGGCTTCCAGAAAGCATCATATATACAAAACGAGAGGGCACAAAACTAACCACATGTTAAATACGACCCTCAATACTGAAATGCTCCTTTGCACTGTGGCTTCTAAAAAACAGTCTTTCATCTCATCGCTATGTTCCACATGCCTTAAGGCTCTGGGGGTGTGAGTAGGACAGCTGCACTTTCTGACCACAGTCACCTAATGCAATCACATCTTCTTCATTAGATTTAGCTCAGATGACTCTGAATTTTCCATGAACCAAATCCTCCTCAACAGGATGAACACATCCAAAGATGATACTACAGGCTTGGGAGGCAACAAGAAGTGACAGGGCTGAAGGTACTCCATGAGATTCTCGGCAATCAGCACAGTATCTGCCTTGACTACAGCACAGACTACATGGAAGCCCCCCCCCACCGCCCCAAACCCACCACACTAGTGTTCTTGCTTACAGGATACTTGGGTCTGCACCTGGCCTGCAGCGAACTCCATGCAAATATCTGTTGATACGACATGGAAGACTCTACAGACATCAAAAGGCTAAGTAAGAAGGGGCTGGGTGCAGTGGCTTACACCTGTAATCCCAGCACTTTGAGAGGCTCAGGCAGGAGGACTGCTTGAGCCCAGGAATTAGAGACCAGCCTGGGCAACATGACAAGACCTCCTTTCTACAAAAAAATTAAAAAATTAGCCAAGCATGGTGGCACGGGCCTATAGTCCCAGCTACTCAGGGGGCTGAGGTGGAAGGATTGCCTAAGACCAGGAGGTTGAAGTGATGACACGATCGTGCCACTGCACTCCAGCCTGGGTGACAGAGTGAGGCCCTGATTTGAAAAAAAAAAAAAAATGGCTAAGAAGGGAATACTACAACAATTTTACACTACTAGATTTAACATCTTAGATGAAATAGACCAATTCCTCAAAAAATGGAAACTACAATAACTCATCCAATATGAAATAGGTAATTCAAATAGCCATATAACTACTAAAAAATTGGGCTGGGAAAGGTGGCTCACACCTGCAATTCCAACACTGCGAGGCCAAAGTAGGAGGATTGCTTGAGCCCAGGAGATTGAGACCAACCTGGACAACATAGCAAGACAATGTAAAAACAAAAAAATTAGCCAGGCGTAGTAGCATACACCTGTAGTCCCAGCTATTCAAGAAGCCGAGGCAGAAGGATAGCCTAAGCTCAGAAGCTCACGGTTGTGGTGAGAGCCACAATCATGCCACTGCACTCCAGCCCGGGTGACAGAGTGAGACTCTGATTATAAAAAAGGGAAAGAAGCCGGGCTTGGTGGCTCAGCCTGTAATCCCGCGCCTTTAGGAGGCTGAGGTGAGTGGATTGCCTGAGCCTGAGGGCTCGAGACCCACCTGGGCAGGCGAGACCTCATCTCTACAATAAAATCAAAAAATTAGCTGGGCGTGGTAGTGCACGCCTGTAATTCCGGCTACTCGGAAGGCTGAGGCGGAAGGATCACTGGAGCCCAGCAGGTCGAGGCTGCGGTGGCCGGGAACGGCCGCTGCACTCCAATCTGGGCGACAGAGTGAGACTCCAACTCAAAAAAATAAAAAATAAATAAATAAAATTAAAAAAATAAAAAAAGGAAAGAAAGAAAAAAAAGACATTGAATTCACAATTTTAAAACACCTAGGCCAGGCATGGCGGTTCATGCCTGTAATCCCAGCAATTTGGGAGACCTAGGTGAGAGGCTTGCCTGAGCCTATGGGTTCGAGACCAGCCTGGGCAACTTGGTGAGACTTCATCTCTACAATAAATCAAAAAATTAGCCAGGCGTGGTGGTGTATGCCTGTAAGCAAGAACACTAGTTCCAGCTACTTGGAAGCAGACCCAAGTACACTGTAAGCAAGAACACTGGTTCCAGCTACTTGGAAGGCTGAGGCGGAGGGATCACCTGAGCCCAGCAGGTTGAGGCTGCGGCGGCTGTGAGTGTGCCACTGCACTCTAGCCTGGGCAACAGAGTGGGACTCCAACTCAAAAAAATAAAAATAAAAATACCTAAAAAAGAAGTATCCATCTCTGTAGTTTCACTGGAGAATTCTATTTATTAAACATTTTAAAAATAATTAATACCAAGTCCACCTAATCTTCTCCAGAAAACAGAAGAGGGAACACTCTTCAACCCATTTTATGAAGCTTGTATTATCCTGATACCAAATCCAGACAAAGACAGTACAAAAAGAAAATTATACACCAATATCCCTTATGAATATAGATACAAAATTACTTAAAATAATAACAAATGCAATTCAGGAAAATAATTATGTGCCATGACTCAGTGGAGTTTATTCCAGGAACAGGTTTGCTCAATATTTTTTTAAAAATCCATATGCTCTCCTTTCTTTTGGTTTTTTTTTTTTTTGAGTTGGAGTCTCACTCTGTCACCCAGACTGGAATGCAGTGGCCGCTCCCGGCCACTGCAGCCTCGACCCAGTGGGCGCCGGCAATCCTTCTGCCTCAGCCTCCCGAGTAGCCGGAATTACAGGCACGCACTACCACGCCCGGCTGATTTTTTGATTTATTGTAGAGATGAGGTCTCGCCAAGTTGCCCAGGCGGGTCTTGAGCCCGCGGGCTCAGGCAATCCACTCACCTCAGCCTCCCAAAGCGCGGGATTACAGGCTGAGCCACTGAGCCCGGCTGTGATCTCCTATATTAACAGGATAAAGAAGAAAAAGCATTTGATCATATCAATCAGTGAAAGAAAAGCATTTGACAAAATTCAATATAATACAACTCTCAGAAAATAGCAATAGAGGGAAACGTCCTGAACTTGATAAAGAGCATCTGAAAAAACCTAGAACCAACATCATGAAAGGCTGAAAAGTTTCCCCTAAGATTATGACAAGTTAAGAATGTCTGCTCTTACCACTATCTTATTCATTGGAAGTTCTAGCCAATGCAGTAAGGCAAGAAAAGGAAATAAAAGGCATACAGATCAAAATGAAAGAAAAAGAACTCTCCCTGTTTGCAGATGACATGACTGAATAGGAAGAAAATCCCAAGGAATCCACCCCCAATACTCTTCTAGAACTAATAAGTGAGTTCAGCAAGACCACAGGATATAAGATAACACATAAAACTCAACTGTATTTCTATATATTAGCATAAACAGACTATATATATATCCTTATACCAAATCCAGACAAAGACAGTACAAAAAAAAATTATATACACCAATATCCCTTGTGAATATACATACAAAATTACTTTAAATAATAGCAAATGTAATTCACGAAAATAAAGAATTATGTGCCATTACTCAATGGAGTTTATTCTAGGAACAGGTATATATATATATATATAAAATACCATTTACAATCATTCAAAAAAAATGAACTACTTAGGTGTAATTCTAAAACCACATGTACAGGACCTACATGTTTAAAACTACAAACATTGATGAAAAAAATCAGAGAAAAAGTCAATAAATGGAGAAATACACCATGTTTATGGATAAAGAAGACTCAGCACACTAAAGATGTCAATTCTCTCCAAACTGTACACAATTTTAATAAATATCTATCAAAATCTGAATAAGAAAGAAAACCTCAGTAAGACTAGATAAGATTATTTTAAAACTTACATGGACAAGCAACTGAACTAGAATAGCAAGAATAATTTTCAAAAGGAATAATAAAGTGGCAGGAAAACTCTACCCAATTTTGAGACATATTATATAGCTACAGTAATCAAGACTTTGTGACATAAACACACAGATTAATGAAACAGAACAGAATCACAGAAGCAGTTCCCACAAACATGGCCAACTGATTTTTTATGAAAGTGCAAAAAGCAATTCAGTAGAGAAAGAAAAGCCTTCTCAACAAAGGGTACTGGAGCAAATGGATATCCATAAGCCAAAAAAATTAATCTCAATCTAAACCTCACCCTTTATACAAAAGTTAACTTGAAAAATATAAATTTAAATGTAAAACTATAAAATTTTTAGGAAAAAAACATAAGACAAAATCTTTGGGATCTAGGGCTGGGCAAAGAGTTATTAGACTTGATACTAAAAGCATGAACCATAAAAAGAAAAGTCGATAAATTGGACTTTATCAACATTATTAACATTTAAATTGTTTGCTCTGCAAAAAACGTGTTAAGTGGATACAAAACTACTTAGCTACAGACTTAGATAAAATATTTGCATATATTCAACAAAGAATAGATGTAAAGGTAAAATATTTGCATATATTCAAAACTCAACCCGTTAGAAAATGGGCAAAAGACATGAACAGACATTTTACCAGTGAAGACATACAAATGGCATACAAGCACATGAAAAAATGTTCAGGCCGGACATGGTGGCTCAGCCGGTAATTCCAGCACTTTGGGAGGCCAAGGCAAAAAGACTGCCTGAGCTTGGGGTTTCAAGACCAGTCTGGGCAATTTGGTGAGACCTTGTCTCTACAATAAATTTAAAAATAGGCCGGGCATGGTGGCGTGCATCTGTAGTTCTAGCTATTTGGAAGGCTGAGGCAGAAGGATGAACTGAGCCCAGAAGGTCGCGGCTGCAGTGGCTGCGAGCATGCCACTGTACTCCAGTCTGGGTGACAAGAGTAAGACTCCAACTCAAATAAAAGAAAAAGAAAAAGAAAAAATGTTCAATATCATTAGTCATCAGCAAAATAAAAATTAATATCACTTCATATCATCAGAATGGGTAAAATACAATAGTGCTTTATCATGGATTAGCCTTAACAATATTATGCTAAATGAAATAAGACACAAAAGGACAAACCTTGCATGATCCTACTTATGAAGGACCTAGAGTAGTTGAATCATAGAGAGAGAAAGCAGAACAGTGGTTGCCAGGGGCTGGGGAGGAGACACAGGGAGTCACTGTCTAAGGGGGACAGAGTTGCAGTATGGGAAAAGGAAAAAGTTATGGAACTGGATGGTGGTAATGGTTGCAAAGCAGTGTGAGTGTACTTAATGCCCTTGAACTGTACACTTAGAAATGGTTCAGAGCCAGGCTCGGTGGCTCAGCCTGTAATCCCAGCACTGAAGTGGGGAGGGAGGCTGAGGTGAGTGGATTGCCTGAGCCCACGGGTTCGAGACTCGTCTGGGCAACTTGGCGAGACCTCATCTATACAATAAGTCAAAAATTAGCCGGGTGTGGTAGTGCGCGCCTGTAGTTCCAGCTACTTGGAAGGCTGAGGCAGAAGGATCGCTGGAGGCCAGCAGGTCGAGGCTGCAGTGGCCGGGAGCAGCCACTGCACTCCAGTCTGGGTGACAGAGTGAGACTCCAACTCAAAAAAAAAAAAAAGGAAAGAAAGCCGGGATCTGTGGCTCAGCCTGTAATCCCGCGCCTTTGGGAGGCTGAGGTGAGTGAATTGCCTGAGCCTGTGGGTTTGAGACCCGCCTGGGCAGCGAGACCTCATCTCTACAATAAATCAAAAAATCAGCTGGGCGTGGTAGTGCATGCCTGTAATTCCAGCTCCTTGGAAGGCTGAGGCGGAAGGATCGCCGGAGCCCAGCAGGTCGAGGCTATGGTGGCCGGGAGCGGCCACTGCACTCCAGTCTGGGCGACAGAGTAAGACTCCAACTCAAAAAAAAAAAAAAAGAAAAAAAAAGAAAAGAAATAGTTCAGATGATGAATTTTATATTATGAATATTTTACAACTTTTAAAAACAATACATACAGCTGGGCTCGGTGGCTCAGCCTATAATCCTGTGCTTTGGGAGGCTGAGGTGAGTGGATTGCCTGAGCCCGCGGGTTCAAGACCCACCTGGGCAACTTGGCAAGACCTCATCTCTACAATAAATCAAAAAATTAGCTGGGCATGGTAGTGCATGCCTATAGTTCCAGCTACTTGGAAGGCTGAGGTGGAAGGATCACTGGAGCCTAGCAGATCGAGGCTGCAGTGGCCAGTAGCATGTCACTGCACTCCAGTCTGGGTGACAGAGTGAGACTCCAACTCAAAAAAAAAACCAATACATACAATATTTTTAAAAGAGCAAAACAAATGGTACTGTACCCCCTCCATAAACACGGGAGCAGGGCCTGAACACAGATTGAGGACTCACTTCATACCCTGAGGGAGGTCATTCCTAAACCGGGCCACGGTCAGATACCTAGAGAGGCCTTTCTGTTGGAAGCCATTAAGAGAGCCCAGCACTTCTGAAAGGGTTGGAAATCGCAAGAATCAATGCAGATATCTGTGGCAGCTTAGAGATGGGGTGGGGCTCCAAACGCAAGTACCTGGGACTGCACAGGGGAGTATGGGCTCCCAGGCTCTCCACTCAGCAGGGTTTCACTGTTCATTTTCGTTTTTAGACAAGCAATATATCGACTGCAGAAATCTTTGCAGAGTTCATTAACCTTTTCCAGCTCAAGAAGATGAATACGCAAAACCTGGATTGCTTTTACCATCTAGAAGCAGAAAAAAAAGGCAACATTACTGTAAATGATCACTGTTAGTTATTAGATAGAACCATCTTTACTGCCAATAACAAAAATGGAGTAACATCAGAAATTATAAACTGACGAACTGTTGCAGTGCTGCTGACCTGTGCTTTGCTGTCTGGCTGCATCGGGTGTGCAAGGAACACAGGCACCTGGTACCAACTTCAGTGTGTCTCAGTGCTAGATTTGTAGGCTCTGGGCTTACAGACAACTGGGCCCACATCTAGTCCCACCACTGTCTCATTCTGTAGCAAAGTTACTTACCCTCGACTCTTCCTATCTCTGCATCTATTAATACATCCATGCCCACCCTAGGTGGTTCTTAATTTTGATAAAGTTTAATTCTAGTGTCAGGTCTAAGAACTCTTTGCCTAGCTTTAGATCCTAAAGGTTTACTCTTATAATTTTTCTAAAAGTTGTATAGTTTGTATTAAGTTACTAAGTTTGGGGGTAACTTGCCTACAGCAGTAGACAGCCAATGCCGATCGTGAAATCATTATCACAAGCAGTACTTACTTCTGGAGCAACAACCCCAAAGTTCATCTCCTCTGCCTATAAACTTGGCAGCAGTAATTCATTTGCATGAGTGCAATGATTAAGGGAATGAGTCCACAGAAAATAAGATTTGCCAAGCATCCAGCTCTGCAGGCCCTGTGCTACATACCCCCTGTCAGGAGAGCCTTGGTACCTCCATCCCTGCAGGTATGGAGGGCACCCACTCCCCACTCACTAAGCCAAGTCAGGTGTGGGCTGAAGGAAACAGAGGCACGCCAGATACTCAGGGGCAGAGTGAGTTTCTGGTCCTCACTCCAAAAGAGCATGTACTCTCAGTCTCCCCTTAGAGATGAGGAGACAGACTCAAACAACTCACCTACAAAATGTGTTAGGTGGTAAGCACTGAGTAGATAATGAGAACTAAAAATGAACAAACGAAACGAAAACAAAACAACCTAAGGCAATTTATCTAGAAAAAAGAAGTTTTCCAAAGACCCTTTTCTGCTAAGGACCCTGAGTAGGGTTTTGATATGGGACCAAGAAGGCTCTAGTGGAAAATCAGTGACTATCCCTTAATGCTGGGTCCTTGTGTTATCCCAAATCTGGGAGGCAAATACTTGTTTATGCTCTGATGGGAGAGCAGATCCAAAGAGAGTGGCCTGCCCAGATCCAGGCTGGTGGTGTGGCCCAGTGCTGAAAGGCATGGCTCCCCTGAGTTCACCAGTGATGCTGAAGCCAAGAAATTCTCTATTTCCTTTGAAGGGCACAGAGAATCCTGGATTTTGGAGCCTTGGACCTGAGAGGAGGGTACCACAGATCAGTGTCAGCCTCAAAGCAGAAGTCGTCTTGGAGAAAAAAGCCAAAGTCTCGTGTCCATATGCATGAGAAGCCCAGAACAGAGCTGGCCAAGCTGGCCAGGTGTGCACCCCAACCCAGATGATGCCCCTTCACATGCTGAGGACATAGCTGAATCCCCCACCCACTTTGGATAGAGCAAATGATTTTATTTGCATACTAAAGGAAAGGGTAGCTAGAGGAGGCTGGGAGGCCAAGTTACATGCACTATAGAATAAGTAGTTTTAGAATTGTCTCTCCTTCAGCAGAATTACAGGCCATCTAATGTACTAATTAGAAGTTTAAAATTTCACAAACAGGCTGAGTGCGGTGGCTCAAGCCTGTAATCCCAGCACTTTAGGAGGCCAAGGCTCATGGATTTGAGACCAGCCTGGGTAATTTGGCAAGACTGTGTCTCTACAATAAATCAAAAAATAAGCCACACATGGTAGCGCATGCCTATAATTCCAGTTACTTGGAAGGTTGAGGCAGAAGGATTGCCTGAGCCCAGCAGGTCAAGGCTGTGGTGGGCATGAGCACGCCACTGCACTCCAGCCTGGGTGACAGAATGAGACTCCAACTCAAAAAAAAAA